CAGAGACGACAGGATGATGCTGTTGTGCAGACACAATGGGTGCCGGGTGCCGGTGTGCTGTRAGAACTCAGGCACAGCTGCATTCTACTGGGAGTGTCAGGGAGGCTTCAGGAAGGCTTAGCACCTGAGCTGAATTTTGAGACAAGAATTAAAGTTAACTAGAGGAAGGAGAAGGACTTTTAATGGGGAGGGAGTAAGGAATGTGGGGTGTTGTCCGAGAGACCATCGGGGCCAGCAAGAGAGAATGGGGGCTCTTTGAAAGGAAAGGTACAAGTCAAGGAGAATCAAAGGAGGAGGTGGGGACATAGGTGCAACCATGCCACAGAGGGTTTCCTTCCAGAGCTAAGTGCCAGGTGTCCTGCTTATTTCCATCACTAGCTCAGAGGATTCCTTTAGCATCAGGCTGCTGCATCCAGTCTGCATCCAGTACCAATCTGAACTTGGGTGCGTTTTCATGAAAACAGAGAGGAGATCAGCAGAGTGGAGCTTGGCCTCCTTTTCTCAGCCTTCAACTTGGCAAYACATCTCAGCCAGAAAGGAAGTGGAACCAGTAGTATTCCACTTCCTACTCAAACTGCGGTCCTTGGAGCAGCAGCTATGCTGGGGCATGTTAGAAACACTCCAGACCCACTGAATTAGAATCTGCATTTTAATAATATCCCAGTTGACTGTGGGAGAAGGGCCAGCATAGTGTGGAAGGGTCCAGGCTTTGGCATCAGGTGGAACTAGATTCAAGGTCCAGCAAATTATTGATGATTTTGCAACCTTGGCAAATTATTTGACTGCAGTGAACCTCATTTGCCTCCTAATGAAAATGGAAGAATGGTAGTAGCCTTATCGGCACTGCTACGAAGATTAGATGATGCATAAGAAAGTGTTTAGCAAAGGGCCTGACTTCACTCTACATTCTCAATAAAAGCAATCTAATGATAATAGGACCCTGGAGGGTGAGCTCTGAGATCACCTTCCTCAAGGAGGGTTGGTATGAGTTTAAGGTGTCCTGCAATAGAAAGAAATCCAACCAATTGAGGACCTGGTGTCCATCAAGTTCTAAGTTGAATATCTAGTGACCTCCCATGAATTTATATTTCTTTTCCTTCAGAGAAATGGACTGGCCAAAGAGCCAGTGGTGGGCAGAGGCACTGCTTTTATCTAAGTGCTCCAGGGGCCGAGTTCCTAATGTTAATGGACCAGAAGGAACCACTGGGCTGGAGCAGAAGGAACCATGAAGAACCTGGCTCTGCAGAGGCAGGTCTGTGGTGACTGGATAAGATCGACTGATGTCCACTCCTGGCACCTACAGGCTGGGCCTGCTGCCAGTGCAGGACCTTTGCAGAGGATCCTTTTTTTAAAATGCATTTTTATGTGATTGGTTGGAAAAATGTTCTGTTTTAGCAAAAAGATGTAAAGCGTTAATCGGTGGTAAGGTATAGTATATCCAGAAAGAATCAATCGACAAACATTTTTGAGGCAGTAAGGTTAAACCCAGAGGTGCTTAACCACTAAGTAACATCCCCAGCACTTTTTTATGTGTTTTACTTAGAAACAGGATCTTGCTAAGTTGTGCAGAGCCTCACGAAGTTGCTGAAACTGGCTTTGAACTCGCAATCTCCTGCCTCAACCTCTCAAGCCACTGAGATTACAGGCCACAGCACCTGGCTCAACAAACATTTTGAGTGCCTGCAATCTGCCAGGTACTGAGGACCCATCCAGAGACAGTCTTGGCTCTCATGACACTGAGAGTAAATGTACATGAAGTAAATAACAGTCAGTCATTTTACGTGTCCCATTTGGAAATAGGCAGTTTGGAGCAAAGCAGTACATTATAAGGGGCTGAGGTCCGGTGAGTAAAACCTGTCTTAGCTCTGACCCTAAGTCAATGCATGATCTTGAACYGTTCACTTCCCTTCTCTTTTGTACTCAGTTTCATCATCAAGGAAAATAGAGGGTCTAGCTTTGAGGGYCCCCAAGTTTGTTCCCCACTTCTGGGTATCTGTGGTCAGGCTTATAGGTGCCTGGTCTGGAGTTGGAGAGAAGAAATTTTAGAGTTGGGCCACCTGGAATCAGCTGAAGGAATCCCTCCCACTTACTGGGTGACCTTTGATAAGGTACTGAACTTCTCTGGGCATCAGTTTCCTCTTCTGAAATACAGAGGTAAATGGGGGACTGGCACTCAGCTGCTGCTCAGGGATGCAATGAGGTAAGGGGCACACTTGGAACATAAGAAATGCTGTGTGGACAGGAGCTCTCACTCTTTATCACGAGAAATGGGCTGACAGTGTTTTGGGGGAGTTGGTGAAATGGTGAGAGGCATTGGAGGCATCCAGGAATCTGGCTAAAGGAGTTTACTGAGAAGCAAACACTGTGGTACCAAGACCACAGGATGGGGAAGCCCTGTACTAGCTGAGATCCAGGGATCCCAGCTCTGATTCTGGCTTTACACTGCCTCACTGCATGACATTGGGGAAGTCAGCCCATCTCTTTGGATTTCAATCAAGTTGAGGTTAGCTTGACCTCAGCCTGAAACTGCAACAACCTGGTGAGGTCAGGTGAATGGCATGGATGAGGAAGGCKGGAAAGGCTTCGGGAACATGAGCTCCTGTTATGAAGGCTGTGCTTAAAGCCAGAGAGGGTGGATAATGCACGTGCCCTTGGCGAGTCTTCTGAAAATAGTGTGGATGGCTTACCCTGGCTTAGGGGGTGATGGACAGAATAGATTTGATATAGTTTTACTAGTATTCTTCCTTTGGGTAAGTTGGCTTTTTCTGGATATCAACTTCTGCTATGAATAAATTGGGTGCATACCCAAATGGGAGGGGATGCTTGAAGAGTGTGCTGTATTCCTGTAGGGTGTGCATGTCAGTTTCCTCCCCATGGCTCTCACCTGCACCAACAGCCCCAGGAAGGACAGAATAGAATTTCGGGAATCACTGCATTTGGTAGTTAGAGAAGACATCTGAGGACTCTTTACCCACTGGAATTTTTTTTTTAATTCACACTTGGGTTTTTATTTTTATTTTTTTTTCGTTTTTCCTATTCTTTTTTTATTGGTTGTTCAAAACATTACAAAGCTCTT